CGACCGAAGACGGCGGCGGCGGCGGCGGCGGTGGCGTATTCTTTACGTTGGCTTCGGGACCAAGCAGGAAGGGCGCTGGCCATTAAGTCAACAGATTCTTTGCCCATTTGATATTTGCCAAATCCATTTGTCGGCTTTATTGTTTTTGGGCTTATATGTACATGCAATTTTCATATTGTAGAGACTTTTTTTCCCTCATAAAAGAATTAAATCTCATTTTGGTCCGACTTTTCAGGATGCCTATATTAGTTTTAATTTTCATTTAAAAAGTATTTATTTTGGTGCAAGAACTTTTAAGTATATCTTAGTCTAGTTATTTTCATAAAATAATTATTTTTTTATAACCAAATACATCCATGTCATAGGTTTATTATACACGTACTTGAAGTCACGTTATCAATTGTAAAAAAAAAGTTCATTTCAAAAACGAAATTAAGGTAAAGGTAGACAAAAATGGTTTTCTCTTCTTTTAATTCATGGACAAAAGCAAATCTTTTAATATAAAAGGGACCAAAAGGGATCAGTATAATAGTAATTTTGAAAGTTGTAATGCTAGAATATGATTTAAACTTCTTTTTTAAATAAAAAAGTACTAATTTAGATAGATTATGCTCAATTTAGTATTTTAAAATTTAATTAGTGAATTTTGAATTATATTTCAAATTATTTAAATTTTGAGGTTAAAAGACATTAAAACGTTGATACACAATATATGTCTATTACATTAGTTTTAATTGATATATGTCTATCACATTAGTTTAATTGAGTCCACATAGTGAATTGGCACGTTATGTTGATATTTAATTAACATGATTAACAATGTAAACTAAATAGAAATATAGTTCAAAATTGATAGATGTAATCTAAAAATTAAAACGGAAAGATTAGTCTATAATTTCATCTTCCACTTCCTTAATATAGTAAACATTTTAAAATTAAAAAAAATATTGTAAGGCAATAACAAAGTTAATATATATATATATATATATATATATATATATATATTAATTATTAGTCTGCTCAATCAATTATAAATTATTTTGTTCCAACCAATAATTCAACAGTTAAGATATTTTACTACTTCTCTAGAGGTTGAACATGTTAAATTCAAAATATTCTCGTTATTAATATCATTCAAAACTGTTGACATAATTTATCCATGGATATACTAATTTTTTTTCTTTGAGTTCGGTTAGGGTTTGGGAGATCAAATCATCAATTTTTTAGATGGTATTAAGGTAGCTTATCTCGTTGAACTATATTGAATTGGCAGATATATTTTAGTTGAGTTCACGTGTGTTATAGATGATTAGATACAAAGTAGATTATAATTAGGAGAGTTGTATGCAGTGGCTTTTTTTTTTGTGATTAATACTTTTCTTTCATGCCATACTTCTACCTTTGATTTCTGTCATTATCGCATTAAAGGACGTAATAATCTAATTAAATAAGTTTTAGTTCAATTTACATGATGCAGTAGATAATCAAATATATAAGAGATCTTCTACATGATGTAGTTCAATTTTAAAGACAATTTTCTTCGTAACATATCCAGACAATTGAATCTTGTCGTAAAATGGACATGTAAATGTAATATGACATCAAGACGAAGTTGTTATAATTTCTAAAAGAATTGATTTAGGACAAATTATACTTTTCTTCATCTCAAGGTTTGGATTAATGCTTTATTTGGCCTTATATTTCATAAACTGGACACAGCTTATAATTATAAGCTTTTGGAAAAAGTTTTAAATAGTCCACACTAACACTATGAATTAGCAGTAAATAAATGAGTGTGGACATAGATTTTCTGTACGCAACCAAAAAAGAAAAAGTTAAAATTTCTTTATTAAATTATAAGTTTTTTGTTTTTTTTGGCCGTGCAACTCTTTATTGGAGATATATGTCAATTACTATCGATTTAGTTTATCGACTTTCAATTTTGTATATAATATGTCTTATTTAATATTGTTTTCTAAAATTAACAATTATATAAGACATAAAATTGAAATAGTTTTCTAAATTATTTTGTCGAGTAGAATCATAAGCCTTCAATTTTGAGTCTAATATATATATATAGGTTCATGAGTTCTAAAAAATGTCGAGAATAGATCTATAAAACACAAAATTGAAAACTTTAAAAACCTATTAGGCATTTTTAAAAGTCCAGAGACTTATAATAAAAAAGATTACAAGTTCGAGGACCTCCTTGCATCCACCCCAAGTATATCCTTCAACAAAAATTAAACAGCATAAATTGATACAGTAGAAATCTTTAGTAAAACGACCACCTGATTACGTAGTCCATTTTAGAGATTGGCTACTTACCTATTGAGTGACTTTAGTACTATAGGTTCAAAAAATGTATATTGTATTAATAAAAGGTCAAGTGAATTTAATAATAGAGACATTTATCGACGTTCCAGCTTACCTAGACGCTTTTTAAAGTTAAAAACTAAACTTGTAATTGGACCTAATTTTCTTTTTTTTTTTTTAAGAAAAAATGGACACCCTGTTTCCACTCTCTCCTAAAACATATCAAATGAAACTTTGGTTAGTTTGTCATTGTTTAAATTGCCCAATTAGAAAAAAAAAGGGTAAACTCTAATTTTAATCTTGAGATTTGATCATAACTTTTCTCCAAATACACACACAGACTTACATTATGGATACAAATATACGATCCAAATAAAATAAGCATAAGCTGATACAATTGTCCTTGAAGACACTACAGTCTAAACTACAATAATCAACCATATCAAAATTTCAGAGGACATATTTGGATAAGTCTTCAATGGATACAAATATCAATCTCCCAAGAATCTCACACAGCCCATATAGTAGCCATTTTTCCAGTTTGTGAGAGAATAAATATGTGATCTCCCACCTTCTTTACATCAACAGAAGCCCCATCATAGCAATATTCTTATTTACCTGCCATCAGCTGCCTTCAATAGAGAGAAAACTTCACTGGCAGTTAAGTGAGTGTGAGTGTCCAAATCTTGACTCATATTTGGATCATCCCTCATCATCGAAGAACCGATCGAAGGAAAACGTCGAATGGCTGTCCATGAGACGCTGCCATTGGCATTGGTTTCACTGTCCTCATGAGGCATTCTCGAGTGTGCGCTTTGCTGAAGTTGCAGCTGCAATGCATATTCCAAGTCCCACAGCACGTTTGCCATTGTAGGCCTATCAGCGGCATCATCTTGCAAGCATTTCTCCGCTGTATCACTTAACTTTCTCAAGGAGTTGGGATTGATCTGACCCTCCAATTTGGGGTCAATGATCTCTTCAAGCAACTCCATTTTCTTGCACCTCAATCCCCATTCTGCTAGATTTATCTGCTCTCTTGGAAGCGCTGGATTCAGAGCTGGCCTTGCACATAGAACTTCCAATAGAAGCACGCCGAATGAGTACACATCGGATTTCTCTGTCAGCTGTTGGGTTCGGAAATACTCCGGATCCAAGTACCCGAATGTCCCTTTAATGTCTGTGCTGACGTGAGTTTCATCRACAGGGCCTGCTCTTGAAAGGCCAAAGTCAGAAACTTTAGCAACCAGGTTCTCATCGAGCAAGATGTTAGTGGATTTGACATCGCGGTGAATGATTCCCCCAGCTGAGCCTTTGTGTAGGTAATTCAGGCCTTTGGCTGCACCAATGCAGATTTCAAGCCTTTTCTTCCAAGGCAGAGGAGGCAACTTTGAGTCGTAGAGATGTTCCCTCAAAGTGCCATTCTCCATGAACTCATAAACCAGAATCATCTCCAATCCTTCGTCACAATACCCGATAAACGAAACGAGATGGCGATGGCGAATTCGAGACAAGATCGTGATCTCACTCTCGAACTCGGGAATGCCTTGTCCAGCCCCGGGCTGGCTTCGCTTCACAGCTACTTTCATGCCATTCCTCAGAGTTCCCTTGTAGACTTTCCCAAAACCACCCTCACCAACAAGGAATTTGTGGTTGAAATTGTTGGTGGCAGTTTTGATTTGGGCAAGCGAAAACTTGAGGCCAAGATTCAAGTTAGGGATGGGAGTGCTGCTTGAGGTTCTCTTAGTAAACATGGTGAGAGAGCGGCCAGGTTGTTTAGTTTTTGGGTTCCTTCGTTTCAGACAAAACCAGATTCCACAGCCTAAAATGCAGAGCAACCCAAAAGCCCCAACACCCAAACCCACGAAAAGACCCGAATGTTTGTTCTTCTTTTCCTCAGGATCGCTGATGGGAGGATCGTTGCTACGTTCATCCATGGCTTCCATAATCTCAACCCCATTCAGATAAGCGCTAAACTGTGCAGATTGGCTATGACCCAGAGGACACACACTGACTTTAAGAAACTCACTTCCTCCAGAATCCACCAAGAAATCATGATGAAATGGGATGCTCGCGATCGTATTATCACCTTGAGGAGGGTCAATCATTATACAGTATCTATCGCCTATGTACAAATTGAAGACTAGAAAATGATCAGTGGATTTACCGATGATATCGTAGAAATGAACCCGGAGAAGATGGAGGATATGTTTTCTCAAACCAAAAGACCACGTCATGTTGGAACTTGTAGTCACCTCCTTTGCCGTTCTGTAAACATATTCCGGGGCAAAATATTCGTCACTTGCGTTATTGTAATTGGGTTTCTTGGGATAGGGGATGCTGTTCTCTGCAGCTTCACCAGATAATTAGCGTCGTTAGAATACCATTTCCTCCACAGTTTGTCGTCGGCGGCGGGAATTTCATGACCTCCGACATTCACTCTGTAAATTGTATGTAAAACCAGAGAAGGGAAAATCTTAGACGTACTATTCTTTCCAACGGGGTTAATTTTCAGTACCTCATTCGGGATGACGTTCGGTGGGGTGGGGAACACTTCAATGGCATTTACATACGCAATAGACGAAGATCTGGGTAAAAAATTAATCCGAAATTTTCCTCTGTTTACGCTCAGGAAGAATTCGTTAATAGAAGCAGAATCAGCGGTGACATTTTTTAGAAGGAAGACCCCAGAAGCCGAAACATCGAAATGGGCTGTGGATAATTGGGTAGAAAAATTGGAAGGGGAGAAATGGAGGCGTACAATATGAACAGCATCTTGTTGGATTTCAAATTGGTAAGACGAATTCTGCTTGAAAATCCTCACGGAATCGTACAGAGAAGGAGGGGAATTGTGGAGATGGAAGGGGTTCCCTGAAGTGAATGTGAAAGTATTAGCAGTAGCATTCAAGTCGCCGACGAAAGCCCGGGCGCCGTCGAGGACGTCGTTCCGTGATCCACAGTTGACAAAAAAATACTTATCCGGAGGAGGAGCATAAGAGTAAGACTGGGACAGGGCCTGAACAGAGAGGAGGAGGAGGATGAGACAGAAAATTTTTTCCATGGAAGCAAGAAGAACAGATACTGGACAAGTCCATCCCCCATCCCCAGTTAATTTGTTCAATGGATAATGACATGAAAAGGTAACATTTCGTGGAAAACAGTGAGAAATTGAGGACATGTTTTGTGGTTGCAGTGTATGGAATGTTGATGGAGAAGAAAGTATTTGAAAAAATTATGTTGACTTTTCTGCAGTGTTTCAAGCGTCGACAAAGCCATCTGGTTTCTTCACAATCTCCAGTTCTGTGGATCAAATTAATCCTTGACTTAGACTCCTTCACCCCTTGCTTCACTCTCTCCGACTCTTACCATTTTTAAAATTTTTAAAATGTATTTTTGTTAGTTCAGCATTTTAATTTAGTTTTTAGAATTTATGCTTTAAATACATCTTTTAAAAACTCATCTAAATTTTTAGATAAAAAATATAGGTGTGGTATGATAATTATTTTATTTTTGATTTTCTATAGTTGAAAATTAAGTTGTTAAATACTACTTTACTTTTTTTCGTTCTCAGGATCGACTGGCACATATTTACTTGATTTTTAGTCTATTTATAGACTTGGCTTCGATAGACTTCCAATGACTCTTCGAAAATACAAAAATTACGACGTGTTGTCGTAGATTTTGTTTGAAGTTTGCACCTGCAGGTGGGCTCGACTGATAACTAAAGCAACCAAGATATGATCATTAGTCGGCTTGGCTTATATCTCAGATAGCTGAGGTGTGAGACTATGGTCGACTTGAAATAAAACATGAGTTACGACCATCTCCAGTAGTTCGGTTCAACCTTATCGAAGATCCAAGCTTCAGTTTCCTTCATGGGTGAGTTACTATGTTGACCGATCACTATTGTTCCTATCAAATCTCGACACGTAGTCGGTAAAAAATCACCTCCAACACAAAGTTCCCATGGCAGCAATAGAGTTGTTTTTAATAAACATGAGAATTAAAATTATAATTACAAAGTACAAATATTTAGCTCAACTGCAATAAGCTTATACAAATACAATTGCCTCTGCAGACCCTACAGTAATTTATTATCAACAAAAAAGGGTCTTTTGTGAGAAGGATAAATATGTAATCTCCCTCAATTCATTTCACACCATTCTTTTTTTCTATCTGCCATCACTTGCCTTCATTTGAGAAAAAACCTCACTGGCAGTCAAGTGAGTGTCCAGATCTTGACTCATCATCATATTTGTTGTATCATCCCTCAGAATCGAAGAACCCATCGAAGGAAACCGTTGAATCGCGGTGGACGAGGCGTTGGCATTGGTTACACTGTCCTCATGAGGCATTCTCGGGTGTGCACTTTGCTGAAGCTGCAATGCGTATTCCAAGTCCCACAACACATCCGCCATTGCAGGCCTGTCCGCAGCATCATCTTGCAAGCATTTCTCTACTGTCTCGCTTAGCTTTCTCAACGAGTTGGGATTTATCTGACCCTCCAATTTGGGGTCAATTATCTCCTCCAGCAGCTCCATTTTCTTGCACCTCAATCCCCACTCTGCTAGATTTATTTGCTCTCTTGGCAGCGCTGGATTCAGAGCTGGCCTTGCACATAGAACTTCCAATAGAAGCACGCCGAATGAGTACACATCGGATTTCTCTGTCAGCTGTTGGGTTCG